CAGAATGAGATTACTCTCTAAGGAAAAATAAACAACAACAAAGAAAAATTATCTCTGACCTTGAACCACCTTTTCTTCCTAAATGAATGCACTGCAAATGCAAGCTCACAGGGCCGTTTTCTGGGTATGTCACAGCTACTGAGCATTCCTGTTGTGGTCAGTTAGGATCTCTGTCCCCACCCCTTATCATCCTATAGAATTGTAGAACCACAGAACGATAGAACACCAACTGAGGAGTGAAAGGAGACTTTTTACTCTAGGCCAACAAGAACAGAAGACATTGGAGAAAGAAACTGTTTCAATGTAAAGACTTGGGAAAAAATCATACTCACTGAAGTAAGCCAGACCCAAAGAAATATAGGTCCCATGGTTTCTTTTATTTGCGATAACTAGTATATGCCTAGGATAATCTTATCAGATGAGCAGAAAAGCTCAAAAGCTATGTACTTACGACCATATAAGATGATGCTAAGCGAACTGAACCCCAAGATATGGACACAAGAGGCTTTCCTTTGTTGCTGTTGTTTTTAATGTACTACATGATTTTTTTTTTGTTTGCTTCTTTTGTATGTTCTTCCCCCTATGGTATATCCCTTGTCACTGTATTTGATTTTGGTACCCTGCATCTTGTATATACATTTATCTAATTTGGGGAGGGCAGGGGAAATAACAAAATGCTGAAATAAGGACACAGGATGCCCCATTACAACAATGATACTCACAAGACACTATGTTGGAAATGAACTTTACAACTTGTTGGTAGGGGGGGAGAGAGTGGGGGAGGTGGGGAAGGGAAGGGACAGTAGGAAACAAAGGAGGGGTAACAATGTTCGGCAAGAAATGTACTCATTACCTTATTCATTAACTGTAAGCTTTCTGTACAGCATCTTTACAATAAAATAATAATTTTTTAAAAAAAAATCAACTGTTTGATCTGTCCCAGTCATCTAACCGGAAGGTTATAGCTGTAAAGTAAAAGAAATGACCCGGGGAATAAGGGATAGACTGTAAAGGGGAGGACAGTTTATATATCTTCTGTGACTAGGTTGTGCTTTTCTGGGGATTCCGGTGTCTTTCTTTGTGCCTGTGTTTTGGTCAGCTTTGTGCTGTGTGTCATACAGCATGCAGATGGGAATGTAAAAGAGCTGCTGTTCATTCCAGCTGCAGTCTTAGATCCAATTAGTTTCCTCAAACCCACCAGCAGAGGAGCCTCTGCTCTACAGGCATGTGACCTCAGAGATAACCAAGTTAGGGGTGAGGGGAAAAGCCAGCTATTGCCTGGGCAGTACAGAGAATGGAGGATAACATTATGGGCATTTGCTGCTGTATCTGACATAGCAGTTGTTTCTCTTCGCTAATCCTGCTTCTCTTCTTTTTTCTCATTCCTATGAATAGCAGAAGCCAGGCCCTTACTTTTCCTAAAGCTTCATTGAGTGCTGGCTCAGTTTAGAAAGGAAGTTCAATACTGGAAAGGAAACCCTAAGTGCCACGGGTGTAGACTATTCTGAGACACCTTAAGCCCCAGGCCTCCCTTGGAAGCCATTAGGTTCTCTCATTGGTTTCACTTTTGGCCTGAAACCATGGAGGGCTGGTTTGCTTCCTAGTGAGATCTCTGAACAAAGTTTGTTCAACTCTGAAGGGCTTAGAGGAAAATGTTCATTGTAGACCAGGTGCCATTTTGGAGGTGTTACTTTGCCCCATTGTACTTGTTTCTTCTTGTGCATGATGTAAATGATAATGACAGAAGTTGTATAGAATTATTGTGGATACTGAGAGAAATTATACATGGAACTTTTACATTTTTTAAATCATTTTATCTTTTCTCAGTTTACTCTTTATTCTGGTACTGGGGCTTGAATTCTAGTCCTCAAAGCTCAGCTTTCTCAAAACTTAAGGCTGGAGTTCACCCACTTGAGCCACACCTCCACTTCCAGTTTTGCACAGGTCAACTGGAGATTCAAAATGTCATGGGACTTTTCTGCCTGACCCGACTTCAAACTCAGATCTTCAATCATCAGATCTCAGCCTCCTGAGTAGCTAGGATTACAGGCATAAACCATTGGTATCTGGAATTTGGGATCACTTTTCTAAACCAGTGTGACTTTTTTGATTAGGTGCTATTATCCAATATGTAGAGTATCATCATTGTTAGTTTTTTAAGGAAGTGTTCCTTCACTGTGTTAATTTTTATCTAACAAACCAAGAAGGGCCTCTATATCAATGTCCGAAAGGTGTATGTATGTGTGTTGTGTGTGTGTGAGTGCTCAGAGCAAGAACAGAGCCTGTTCATCTCCAAAGCAGTTCTAAACCTCCAAGGAGGTTTTAGAACACAAATACTCTAAATGACTTACATAAGAGTCTGAGAAGGGGCAGATTCTCAGGGAACTCTGGCTGTGGGCAGAGTTTGAATCATTGTAGAAGGATGTAGCCCACAACACTGATATCTTGGTACGGTTATTGTGGAAGAAAACTGATTTTGTAGAAATATATCATACCTCAAGGATGTTAGCTTTGTTTGATTAAAACAGGGCAGCCTTCGAAGGTTGTAAAAAAAAGTCAGGTACTGTATAGGACGAGTCACAGAAAGGCTTATTTTACAAGGTTAGTAATGAGCTAAAGTGATCCAAAAGGACAAACATCTAGCACTTTAAAGCTATTTCAAGCTTACATGGAGTAAATGTATATTCTGAGGACTCAAAGCCTGGTGGTAAGACAGCTATAAGAACAATTCTTGGGGGTTAAGAGATTTTAAGCTTCATAAAGGAGAGCACATGAAAAGAAGGATGTATTTGTGAAACTCAGGAGTGATGGAGAAAATGGTTTTGGTGGCTGTGTAGTCTACGCAACAACTTGAAGCACCCAGAAGAGGAGTGAGCAGAACATGATGGTAGTGAGCATGGCTCCAACCTATCCCAGGTTGTAGTGGACTGAAGAAAGCAGAGATGAGTTCCTTTCTTAACTCCAGTGGGCACAGTAGCACAAAGCACCATTTCATGTTTCACTGTTGCAAAATGGAGTGAAAACTGTCATTTACTTTACTTTTTTTATTTACTTTTTTTACTTTTACATTTATTTATTTTTTTGCCAGTCGTGGGGCCTGAACTCTGGGCCTGGACGCTGTCCCTCAGCTCTTCAGCTCAAGTGGTAGTGTCCCTTAGCTCTTCAGCTCAAGGCTAATGCTCTACCACTTGAGCCACAGTGCCACTTCCGGCTTTTTCTGCTTATGTGGTGCTGAGGAATTGAACCCAGAACCTCATACATGCAAGGCAAGCGCTCTACCACTAAGCCACCTTCCCAGCACTTCATTTACTTTTTTTTGAAATCTCATATTCTTCCTTCCTCTACTTACTGAGCAATAGAATTACGGCCGCCAGGCCCAGGTCCACTCTTGCTTTTGATTGACTAGACTCCTAAGCATCCATTGGGGTTGTCAATCCTTCTTTCTCTCAGAAAAAGAAAAAAAAAATCATGTTGTTACTATCAGAATGAGAAGTGGTTCCAGTAAGGATCTGAACCCAGGAACTTCTGCTGATGAAGAAACTGACTGACACTAAGGTATGTATAAAGAACACAGGCTGACCATTCATGCAGACTTGTCAGGGTGGAGGTTTCCCTCCAGTATTACAGATTCCACACGAGGCTCTTGGCATATGAAACAAAAATGAGACCCGGCCTGCCAGGAGGAATCGCAGTAAATACCCACGAGGAAAGAGTCTCTTGGGGGCCCATCCATATTGCATCTTATGGGGCAAGAGAGATGGCCAGCTAGAGCAGGCTGGGCGCAGGGAGTAAGGAACTCAGCACTAGGACCCTTCCCAGTAAGGCTACGAGATGGCAGGAGCTTTCCCCTGACTAACAACGCAAAGGAGTGGCTTTGGAAAAGAAGCCAGCCAGACAGACAGATTAAAAACCCTTTCGGGGAGACTCGAAATTGCTTTGGCCATTTTTTTTTCCTGCCCAAACAGACATCCAGTTCCTTTTGCCAATTTTCTTTCTTTCTTTTCTAAATATCCCAAACAGACACAAGTAGGAGGGAAGGACTGGAGAATCTCAGAAGGGGTTGTGTTGATAGAGAGCTCCCAGGACTTCGACCTGGGAGGGGGGTTAAACAATAAATTAAAGCCCCAATGTCAGACATCATCACTAAAGGAATGGGTGTCATTTCCATGCCACCCCCCCCCAAATCTGGCCTGATGTGACACCAAGCAAAGATTTGTTGCCGTTATTTCTTCATTTTTACAGACAGATTTTCTGTCTTTGCTCCTCCCCCCCCCCCACTCTCTCTCTCTCCTAGCCACTCCGGTTTGGGTTTTCCATATGACTCATAATAATTCCTTTTTGAAAGTGGAGTGGAATTCATAAAAGTGGTGGGAAGGGAGGGGGAGAAGGGGGAGGGCAGCGAGCCCCGAGGCGGGGAAGGGGGGGGAGGGAGCCTTCAGTACCTACACGGTCAGTTCAGCTCCCGGCGCCAGTGGAGGTCGGTGGGGAGGGGGGAGGGCCCGGGGATACGGGCGGGGTGGGGATGGCCGCTACTAGCAGAGCTCCAGCGTGGCGCGACCGGCCTGGGTGACAGGCGGGCGAGAGAGTGCAGGAGGGTCTGCGGCGCTGCAGCAGCCCGGGCACGGCCGCCGCCCGCCCGCGGGCGCGAGTGTGCGTGAGTGTGTGCACAGTGTGTGTGTGTGTGTGCAAGGCAGGGCCGGCGTGCGGGCCGCCAGGGGCGTGCGCGCGTGAGTCGAAGCGGGAGGGGGGGCTCCCTGCCGCGCCCCCCCACCCCCGCCCCCGGACCCTCCTCCCCCCCAACCCCGGCGCGGGAAGGGAGGGGGAGAAGGAGGGAGAAAGTGCGCCTCGGTGTCATCACCAGCCATTGTCAGCCGCGGAGGAAATTGGAATCCAGCGGCCGCGGCAGCAGCAGCTGGGCGGCCACATCTGGGAATGCAAAGCCGG